GGAGGGCTTCAGGGATGCAGGGGGGTTCATGGGGGATTTTACATTTTACCATAATTTGATGTTTTGCAAAGGTTGCATCCCTGTTCTTTGTGTTGCCTATTTAGTTTAGGCACCAAGACTTCAGCATTTCTTCTCTGGATGTAAAGAAACGAACGTAAGTACGGCTTGACTCTCGGGCTCTGTCATGGTAATGCCACATTTCCTGAAAATTGAGAACAGATAGACATAGAAATTCATTCGTACCAAGTGCAGTGAGGCTACTGAACACACAGTGCTACAAATGAAACAGACAGAGATAGAGAGAGGAAAAATGTTTTACGGAGCTAGTTGTTTCAACACAAACAACCAGCACTTGAGACACACACACACGCTCGCACGCAGGGAGGGAGGGAGAGAGTTGATCCCAATTTCTTTCCCATCCCAATTTTTTTCCCCCCTGAGATCCTGATTTTGAGATTGCATAGAGTGGCAGGTCTGCCTCTGTGACCAGAGCTCTATTTAAGGTTGTTCTTTTTCTATCAGGACTTATCCTTCAATACTTCATTGTTGCCTTATTTTCATTTATAAATCCTTTTCAGATTTCTCTAAACTTGGAGCTAAAGTGATTGAAGGGAAGACCAAGATTGTGTACGATCTGGTGGACCACCCTGGAAAAGTGCTTGTGGAGTCCAAGGACCGCATTACAGCCGGCGATGGCGCTCGTGCCAATGACATGGAGGGCAAGGCCAAAATATCAACTGCAACTGCCACATCCATTTTCCAGTTATTGAACAATGCAGGTAAAGTTCAGTTCAGTCTTCTTGTTTAATATAATGTGTAAAATGGGTGTTTATGTATTTTGTCATGTGTCAGATGGAAGGTTGGTAGAGGGGTCCTACGGTGCAGTGGTAGGTACCATGATTGATAGATTGAGTTGGGGAAAATGTAAGAAACGTACCACAGTGTCCGCAGCTGTTTCTTCATTATTATTATTATGGAGCTGTCATGGTAATGCCACTTTAAAATGTTTTAATCTTTCCGGAATTTTTGTTATTGTACTTTGCAATTTTTATGTTATGAAATCAGTTTGAAGGTTTTCATAATTATATTCTTCTTATTTCTGTGCATGAATGAAAGGTGGATATGGAGGAAATTGCAAGAAAAATTATCAGAGTGTGAGGAATTTTAACCTTTCTAGCCAATTTCGGATCCCTGCCCTCCCCCCTGAAAAAACCCAACAAGTCAAACGGATGCTTGTACTCTCATGTACCTTACATGGACATCCTTGTATGCCTGCCTTCACATTTCAGCTCTCTTTTCACTGACTAGCCCACCCCTTTCCCTGTTATTTATAATTAATTATTGTAATGTCAAGATTCTCATTTCTCTCTCTGAATGGACAAATACATGGGTTATGATAATAATAAATATTATGTCCTTGCTTTTCTTTTTTCATTCTCACTTTTAAGCAACAAGAGTTTCATTTTCAATAATTGTTTTATTTTTTTTTCACAGGAATAAAGACTCACTTCATTCAGCCGGAAGGGGAAAGGTCATTTGTTGCCTACAAATGTCACATGATCCCCATTGAATGGGTGACACGAAGAATTGCTACTGGTTCGTTCTTAAAACGAAATGTTGGAGTCCCAGAGGGATACAGGTTCAACCCCCCCAAGCTTGAGACATTTTTCAAGGTAAATATAAAATCTGTATGAATTGTTAACAGTCACTCTTTGAACTAACTTGACCAGGTATAGGCTGATAGCTCTGTTAGTGTCGTTCCGGACAAGAATGCTAATGACCCTTGTTTAAATCCCATATAGCATTCTTTAACTTTGTTTTGTTATTTATTAATTGAAAAAAAAAAAGAAGAATTTTCAAGGCTCTGCTCTTTTGGCTTGGTCCTATTGGGGATGGATCATGTGAAATTACAGAGGTCCAGTCTATAAAATTTCCTTTCAGATTGTCGGGAAGCTAGAAACTCATCCAGAAATTTCTTGAGGGTTAGAACATGCACACACACATGTACACGCGCACACATACACACACCTACACCACATGTACACTCACAAGCCAGCACGCACATGCCCTCTTGTGCACATACACATGCGCACACACACTGATATGCGCACACACACAGACACACATACCCACACACATGCACAGTGAACGGCTTATTTTGTCAGGTTGGAGTCGTAATTTATCAGGCTAAGATAGGTTTTCTTCTCTCCCCTCCTCCTCCCTGCCCAGTGTTTTGCTTTCTTTTTCTTGCACTGCCCCTTCTTTACCACTACCTTCTCTTTCTTGTTTTTTTTGCGAAGTTACTGTCAACAAATGCTTTAAGTGAGGTTACTTTCAAATGTTTTTATAATTATGTTCTTTCAGGTTCAATAACCTAGGTGTAGTGGCTACCCATTTGTCTGCTTTGTGCAAATTAGAAAAAAAGTACTGTTCAAACTTTATTATACCGTACACCCCCCCCCCCCCCCCAGGGGCAGTGCTACTGACTGAAGTGTCTTTAGGCCATTCCCAAAGGGGGACACTAACATGTTCTTATGTTCAATAGAATTGTAAATGAGCTAAATCATCGATGTCATGCTCCTAACTGCCTGAACTGCTGCTCTTTTTTCCCTTATCCTTTAGTATTGTCATTTTCCTCTACTTTTGTATGTTTGTCACTCTCTTGTGACCTGCTATTTCCGAAGTGCCTTGATAGTCAAAGCAGACTTTGTGCTATTGAAGCTAGAGAGGTGAGCAGAGTAAGTCTGATTCCGCGTATGGACTTCTCTGTTGACATCCACCCCTTGGCGCGCATATGACCATTGTCACCCTATGCAGTTGCGAGCACCGTAAAAACTCTACTAAAACTAAACTTAAGACTTTGTTACCTGTAGTGAGGTCCAGAGACTTAAATCTGTTTTGGGTTTTTACAATGCTTACTGTAAATCTCTGTTTTTGATTTCTTTGCAGGATGATGAAAACCATGATCCCCAGTGGTCATTTGAACAATGCCTTGCTTACGGAAAATCATTTGGAGGTGTTCTGATTGGAAGAAATGAGCTACAAATCATGGAGAAAATGACCGTGACCATATTTGAAATCCTTGAGAAAGCATGGGCATCTCTGGACTGTAGCCTTGTTGATATGAAGATTGAATTTGGTGTGAAAGACGGAACAGGTATTTTAAATTCATTCATTTTTAATTAAGTTTTATGTGTGCTGTAAATTTGTATTTCGATCTCATGAAATTGAGTGAAGAAAATAAATATCTTGTTACATTTTATCCTTTATGATAAGGAACTTTTAAGCACTTTCATAATTCGGGCTGCATTAACCTTCTGGTTCATCTCCTTTGTTTAGAGGTGAAGCATTTGGTGGCAGTTTTTCTTTTATTTCTTTGTAGTCTGTTCCAGTGAGCATTAAATTAGGTTTGCAATACTTAATTGGAGTTTCTGATTTCAGTACCTTGTTAGATTAAAATGAAAAATATTTTGTGGGTGGTCAGAGGGTGCTCTGGTTTGGTTTGCTCCTTCTTTCCTATCAAACATCTGTCGTCCTTATCTCCCCTCCTTCTTTTTTGTGTTTTTTACTCTCTTGTAACACCTTTAACCTTCGACACTATATGATTTTATTGTGTTGCAAGTGCTGTAAAAGTCTTACTAGAAAAAAAATATTTTGTTCATATTCTATTCTTTGTTGCCCTGATGTTTCCACTTTCTTGAAAAAAAATTCAGGGTGACCAGAAAAAATGTTACTCAGTTTATTTTTTAAAAATGCTGATAAAACAGGAATTAAGGTACAAACACCAAAGTTTGCAGAAGCATAGAATGTCAATCGGGTTTTATTATTTTGTAATTACAATAGAATATTATAGCCTCAAAGTAACAAGATCTCCCAATGCCTTCCATTTCGAATAAGACACATTATGACACGTTGAGTGAAATTGAGATTTGTGTTGACACTGCTCAGAGGATATCTCTCTTAATAATAATAATGAAGATCATTTCTATAGCGCCCACTCCCGTGTAAACACAGCTCTAGGCGCTTTACATAAATGCATGTACGACCAATATTCACGCACGCGACACACACAACACACACACAAATATACACTCATACACACACACACACACACACACACATATACACATACACACTCAAACACACACATACACACTCACGAACACATAACACACACATATGCACACACATGTACGCCAAACACACACACACACACGCACACGCACACACACATCTACTTCCTTATCACACGCACACGTTTATACATCGTCACGAAATGAGCATAAAATAATATACACACTGCAATTCACAAAATATATAAATGGATACATAGTCATTTACATTACATTGTACTGAACATGAATCTACTGATATAATAAAAAGGATGTCATTAAATGTGTCTTTAAAGATTTTTAAAATTTAGACTCAGATGTTGTCTGTCTCAAGGTTTGGGGAAGAGAGTTCCAAACTGACGGAGCAAAGTGGGCGAACGATCTTTCAGCTAATTTTTTACCCCCTTTTCTCTGAACTCTTAAAAGATACTGATCGTCTGATCTGAGTGATCTAGATGGAACATAAATCTGGATGAGATCACTAAGATATGAGGGAGCTTTGTTATTGACACATTTATGACATAATGCTGCAATTTTATATGACATTCTAGCTGACACAGGAAGCCAATGCAACGTTCTTAACATGGGAGTGATGTGATCCCTCTTCTTTTTCTTTAGTACAAGCCTAACAGCATGATTTTGAAAACGTTGTAACTTGTGAAGAGTGGGATTTGGTAAGTTAGCTAGTAAAGCATTGCAATACTCGAGGCGTGAAAACAAGAAAGATGACACGAGCGTTTTCAACGAGTGTTCATTCAAAAACATAGACATATGACCTATTTTACGCAATTCACAAAATAATAGGGTACTCAAATAATTATGATGTTCCATTGATAATTTTGAATCAAAATACACTACCAGATTTTTTGCTTTATTAGTAAAATACAGTTTTTCATTTTCAATGCAAATATGATCAATGTCTACGGGGATATGGCTTTTCTTTGGGTTACATAAAAAAATTTCAGTTTTATTTTCATTAAGTTGGAGCTTATTATCAACCATCCACTTTTTGATGTCATCAATGCACAGACCCATGGTAGTAAGCAGGGTTTTAACATCTGATGGTGGAACAGATTTATATAACTGTGTATCGTCAACGTACATGTGATAATTCATATTGTGCTTTCTAATCACAGCTCCAAGCGGCTGTGTATATAACGTATACAAGATTGGACCCAATACTGAACCTTGAGGCACTCCAAAGTCTAGCTTAAAAATTGACGAAAAAGAGTCGTACACAACCACAGATTGTGTACGGCCAATCAGGTAGGACCTGAACCAGTCAAGAACCCTGCCAGACAGGCCAAACGTGTTGAACAATTGTTCAATAAGAATAGTGTGATCTATAGTGTCAAAGGCAGCACTAAGATCAAGAAGAGAAAGAATTGATATTTTGTTCTCATCCGCCTCACACAAGAGGTCGTTATATATTTTCAGTAGCGCAGTTTCTGTGTTAAAAAAATGCCGATAGGCCCTTCCTGGGGTTTTTCTCATCCTGAATACTTAAAAAATTTTAAGGATTTTCCACAGTCATCAACAAGAAGGCTATAATTAATATTTCTGAGTACAAACTTTTTATTCTGGTCTTTTTTGTTCACTTCCCTGTATGCTCACTCTGAAGTACTAGTTTTCTCCTCGATAGGGAGATCTTTTGAAAAAATGTAACGTTATTGAACATGTAAATGGATTTTCGCTCGAAGTCTATATTGAACTTGAAATTGAAATTGAAAATATGTAGATCTATCATTTGTATGGTCTTTGTTTTAAAATGTTATGAACTTCTTTTTGTAGATGAAATCATCTTGGGCGACATCATTGACAGTGACTCATGGCGATTGTGGCCATCTGGAGATAAGCGCTTGATGAAGGATAAACAAGTTTACAGAAACCTGAAGGAAGTTACTGCTGAGAGTTTGGACATGGTGAAGAGGAACTTTGAATGGGTTGCTGAAAGAGTGCAGGTATCTCATCTGCGTCAATATACTTCTATTTGCAATCATGTAGCTCATTGATATGGAACTACAGTAAAATCTTGATAACACCAACAGTGCAGGAACAGACACTCTGTGGATGACACTTCATGGTGATTAAGCAGATTTCGTGTTAAACAGGGTGCTAATGAACAGAGCAAAAAGGGGAGGCAACTCCTTTCTTGCTGATGTTGGCTTGTATCAGGTACCACAAACCCAAATTTCAAAGTGCTTTGATCAAACATGTTCGTTGCATAATAAAGAACTATGCAAACCACAAACTTTGGTGTTTGAATGATAGAAATCGGACAATAAATAAAAAAATGACAGGCGTTTGAAATTTGTGGACGTCGTAAATTTTTGGCAGCTTTTAAATCACGTTAAAAAGTGCGATTTTGTGAGTTCACAGAAAATTTATTCAGGTACATAAAGTGTGTATTATTATTTGTTTCAACAGGTGCCAGTATAAACTATGCAAAATACCAAGATGAGGACAATCAGAGTTTAAATAAAGCCAATACAGAGACTTAAAATTGGAAAAAAATTACTCCTTGATGCATAATGTTAATTCAAAAATGCTAAAAAGACTGATTTCAGACATCAATAAAATGGAAAGTTATTGCTGAAAAGAAATGAAACTTACAGAATATATTCTAGCAATGCCCACCGAGCGCGTTTTGTTCTGCCGATTTTTGGCCCCCGCAGCGGGGGTGTTTCGTGGGACGCACTAACGCAAAGGTTGTTGTCTTCAACTCGCTCTCACGCCGCTTCTCGTGAATGGATATGAATGAAACTTGGCAGCCAATCAGAAAAGAGGTCAATCTCGTAGTATGCAGTTTGACAACATTGTACCCATTCTAGAAGCAGTCGAAAACGTTTGCGAAAGTGGTTAATGTGATGCGCTTTGAAGATTTTTCGGAGCTGTGATTTGTCAAACTGACTAATACGTTGTACACCATTTTTCTTTATTCCCTTAAAATTTCAAGCTTCTGTGTTTAGCGGTTTTCGCGTAATCTTTAAAACTGTGGGAGTTACTAAGGGAAAAAGTGGCATTGCCATTTGCGCGACGACCTGCTGCTGGGAAATTTCCACTGAGTGACGTCATCAGCCATCGGTCGCCTCGGGCGCTACAAACGAGGCCCCGCTTATGTGAACCGGAAAGGGGGGGAAGGATACTTGAAAACTAAACGGGGGCCTTGATAACTTGCGTTTTTGTTGCATTTTAGTCACAATACAATAGATCTCGTCATTTTTATTTGCTTGATTGCATGACAGAAGAATAGAAACAGAAAAGCAAACATCTTGAGAAGTGGTATGGCATTGTGTTTGCGTTATGAAAGCCTATTCCTCCCTCTTGGGAAAGCACACACTTGGACTCGTCCTGTGTGCTCTGTTTGGAAAAGTGAGGCATTAAGATTGTTATTAAAGAGTATCGTACTCCAGTCTGGGAAGATAGTCCCGTTTATACATTGTTATCGTTCACGCGTGAGTGCGCGCGCGTGCATGTGTGTGTGTGTGTGCGCGCATGTGTGTGTGTGTGAGAGGGAGAGAGAGAGAAAGAGAGAGAGAGAGAGAGAAGGGGGGGTGTAAATATGTTACATTTATTGTATGAGTTGTAGCCTACACATGCAAAATATTCCCATGACTTGTAAACTATAATTATCTGAACGCATCTTAATCTACCACACAATAGGACACTGTCCAACAATGGATATACACAGAGACGATCTTATTTTCTATAACAAAGTATGCATGCTTTTACTAGTATAGAACTGGATTTATTAGTAGCTCTCTACTTACATTTTTGTGACAAATTGATCCAAAGCATTGCTTGGCAAGGAGGAACCTTTTATGTTGCCAAGTTTCATTCAAATATCATGACTTTGGGAGAACATATGACTGATAATCTTTGTAAATCTGTAAAAAACGCCACTTTTTTTTACCTGTTAATGTCTTTACAACTCAAAAAGTATGACATATTAAAAATCTGACTGCATGACTAGATTTTGCATTAAAAAATGTACTAGACTGCCAGGTTTCATTTACATATTCCAAGAAATAGGCGAGGTATGACAAATATTGTCTGAAAACGCACCGGAAACCGCCACATTTTTACCTATAAACGTCTTCATAACTCAAAAAATAGGATAGCTATGAAAAATCTGAAAGCAGGACTAGATTCTGCACTACAAAATGTACTGGGTTGCCAAGTTTATTTTCTTCAATACTCCAAGAAATGAGCGAGTTATGACGAATATTGTCTCAAAATGCACCAAAGAACGTCCCATATTTTGAGGTTTTTTCATTATATAAAAGTGTACCAGAAATTAATTGATTAAAAAATCTGTAACTTTTTTGTTTATTGATGGATTTAAAAAATTCAAAAATTTCCATGCTCTGTGAAGATAAAGCTACAAAATGCACATATTTACAAACACTTTCTGGCAAAAAAAGGATTTTCGTGGTCATTGCTACATATTCACAGTAGTGCAAATTCATAGCCCAATGTTTTTCAGAGTTCTGGCACTTCAATTTAATCAGTTATGGAACCACAAAAATGGGAAAACTGCCAATTTTGCGTTATAAACAGAAAATCACAACACGTTACACATGGCCTAAACACTTTTCAGAATAAAATCACCTAAAATCATGGCAAATGTCTAAAACTTTCCATGCCAATGTACTTTTGGACCAGGAATCCATTTGTTATCATTTCTGTGATAACATGAAGCATTACAATAATATGAGGTAAGATAAGAGAAAAAATAAGAAATTATTCGGCATAATTTCAACAAAATCATCTATAACTTCTATAGAACTACAAGAAAGACGCCCCAAAGCTCTACTGCTATGTGTTTTTGGGCCAGGAATCCATTTCTGCAATCAAATCTGAGATAAATGAGGCATTAATAAAGTAAATATTCAACAATGACAGATCAGATACACAAACACACACAAAAACTCCTCAATACTAATTACTTTTTTTTAAATTAGAAAGAATCTCCAAACAATTTTTTTCCAAAAATATAAAAATTGTGCAGACGTTCCCGCACGGGCAGAGCCCATTTTCAAATCAAGGGCTAGGACAATTGGGGAGAGGGCGGAGGAGACACAAGTTAGATCTGCAACTAAGTTCAAATTCCCCATGGCTCATTAATCTAAAAAAATTGGGTCTATTCCGGAATAGATCTAGCAATTCTAAAGGTACCGACTTATTTGATAATCACGAATTATTATGAATGAAGCTCTCGAGTAGGAGAGTCCATTTTCATCAGTAAACCAGCCTCTAAAAGTTGTATAAAAAAATAATTCAATTGGTGCCGGTACTTGTTTCATGAGTCTAAATAGATATATTGGCTAAAAGAAAACAATTAAATGAATTAGTTATCAAAGACTTTGTCAGATATTCGCAATATTCAAGAGAATATATTCAATTCATTCATCAATGAACAAATGCCAGCTGCACCCCCTGCACAGACGAGTTCATCAAGCTTGTTATGATCTTTTAAAAGAGGTATCACCATTACGGAGTCATCGATAGAATGAAATGGTCACGTGACCAGAAAATAACACCAATTTTTAATGACTAAAAACAAATTGCTTTAGATTTCACCATATTTTCAAAAAATTTAAGCTTCTTATCTTTCTATCCAAACCAGATTTACAACAATACTGGGTACTGAATTAATTACAGGACGTTCAGAATGAGACCACCCGTTCGTCTGTTTGCGATCTCGGCTTCAAGCCCTAGCTAGATCTAGGTCAGGCAAAGGTTGATGACTTTATGAAGAACTATGTAACACTAAAACAATCTAATGAACAAAATCAACTTACCGCACATCTCCTGAATATCCCTATCCATGATTGGAAGCACAATGTAGCCCTTGATATGCACTTATGTACGTGAATAGAGCGTAATCGAAAATACGTAGTGCACGTAAATAATTCTTCGCCTTGCTGAATCAAACGCGTCGCCAGAGAAGGTACCAGCATGTGTGTTTACAAAAACAAGCAGCGCTAAACGGCTGCCAGACCAATCGTAGTCATTTTTGCACACGATTCCCTTGATGTGTTCTACTTTTGAGTAGACCAGGGTTCTTTCGATCAATCATTGGTCAGACTTGGAGATTTCCATTCTAAAAATAGGTTTCAAAACTCACGATATTTCTGGGTCAACAACTAACTTTAGCAACAAGCGCTTGGTAACGGGTGAAAGCTTATTCAAAGCTGGTTCTTGCATTTTTTGTTTCATGACGATAGCAGTTATAGGCGCGTAGCGCGAAGGCTTTTTATGAAGCACCCTAAATTTTTGTTGCTGCGGCCAGCATGAAAAATGACGCGGAAAACGCATTCCCGTGCATTTCGATGACCTTTTTAGATAGCTTACTTTACAATATCTCGTTCCGTGCCGTCCTCATTAGTTATTTTAGCTAAAAACAATAGTTGAACTGACTTAGTTCGAAACCGGGTGAAGATTGGTGTCAAATAAGAAGAGTTATGGTTGATTAAAAATGACCAAATTTCGAACTTCCTACACACTTTCAACTGCGCAGAGGCGGGGGTTTGTGGTACCTACTTGTATAATTGTGGGGTTGCCTATTTCTAGTCATTAATTGGCGGAAAACTGCCAACATTTGCAAATTGAAAGAAAAAGGCAATCTTATATATTTTCAACCTTGGTTGGATACTGTGACTTCACAGAATGAGATTCTAAGAGGTAACTGTTTACTTGATGGTTTTCTATTACTGTTACAACATAAATGTTAAAAGACAAAAACAAATACGAAAACGAGGACTTGATAAATCATAATGCACCTTATAAAGATCATTGGAAAAAAACCCTAACAAATAAGGGGGGAAAAAAACTAGGACATCCCTGTAATTAGAGATGTTTAGCAGTTTCCCAGTGTCTCGTCTGGTCTCCATGTCCCGACGTAAAACATAGCTTCTCTCTCACCGCCCACTGTGCTCGGGATGTGGGAGATTTGTATTGACAATGGTAGACTTCTGTAAAGGGAGGGGGGGGGGGGGGAGAGGAGAGGGAAAGAGTCAGCTATGAGGAATGATGAAATTGTCTCCAAGATTCCATGTCCACCAAATGTTGTGGAATTTTCCGTCATGCAAAGACAAGTTGCAATTCAAAGAGTAAAGATGGAAAAAAACCGCGAGGTTTTAAAATCCTTTTACGTTAATAGGAATTTTGTGTTGACCAAAGCTTGATTTACTTACGAACTGCACTGACTCTAACTCACTCCTGAGCGTACTCTTTTCTTTACATTGCTGTATCTCAGCCTGTACTGGTACATATGTAACAGTTACACTGAAGTGAATAGGTTCTGTAAGGATGAGGGGTTTTAGTGCTAAAAGGGTTAACGTAACGGGTTGGAGGGCATCACCTTTTATCTTTTGTGCATTGAAAGAGTGTGACAGTGTAAATCTAGCAGGCAACCCAAGGAAGCTGATGTGCACGAGTCCATTTTTATCCTTGCTCATTCTTAATACCCAACTATAGCAGCATGTACCCTTTGAGTGCGTAGTCCATGGTTTTATTTGGGTGCCCCATTCAATTCTTTTTTTCACCTTGAAAGCTATTTCCCATGGTATAATTATATTTCCTATTTCAGCTTCTTAACTCAAAGCCAAGTGGTCGTGTGGCTGTGTTTATGGGCTCTAGCAGTGACGCAGCTCATTGTGAGAAAATCAGAGGAGCTTGTAAAAATTACGGCGTGCCTTGTGAGCTGAGAGTGACATCAGCACATAAGCAGTCAGACCAGACCCTGAGATTACTGGCGGAATATGAAGGTATGTTGTTCTAGAGGCCGTTTTGTTAGCTTCTCATGTTCTGCAATGCTAGGGAAGATGGTGATTTAGGGCAGGTCTTTTTGCTTTTCAATCCATCTGTTCTTTGTGTTCATGGTTTTTTCTAACTCTAAATGATGATTATGATGGGAGTGTGCTTCGTTTAATGACGATGGGCTTCAAGTAAAAAAATTGAACTGCGATAGTTATATGTATATCAGGTGTAAGGTAGTAAAGACGCCTGTACGTAATTCATGATATGTAATTGCTTATGAACTTTGCTGATGTGGTGATGACACAGGGTTCAATGCCAATGGGTAGTGAGTTTTTTTCGTCCTGTCTTGATGAAGTGACCAGGACAGACTTTGTGCTGTTGAGGCTAGAGAGGTGAGCCGAGTAAGCCTGATTCCCTGTAAGGACTTATCTGTTGACATCCACCCCTTGGCGCTCATATGACCTTATGCAGTTGCGAGCGCCATAAAAAACCTTACTAAAATTAAAAAACAAATTACTGTGTGCTTTGATAATGAGTTCATTTCATTTCAAAATAACTGTTTTTTTCCCTTTGAAGTTTGTTGTTTCTGCTGTATGATGTTATGGAAAGTGTCCATTACCTTTGTTGTTAGGAGAGTCTAGTGTTCTTTTGGAGGGGAGGGGGTCAGTTTGATATCTCCTATTTTGTTCAAGATATATTATTATGGGGCTTGTTTTAAAAATGGCAGGATTCTCTGTGATCCTTAGGGGGTACATGTGGAAAGACTTTGTGTTTGAAGTCATGTTGAACTAAATAAAAACTTAAGCTATTAGACAAATATTGCTGAGTGTTATATTTAAGTTGTTGTTTGTGTTTCAGGTGAAGGAATACCCACAGTGATCATTGCTGTGGCTGGACGTAGCAATGGGCTGGGACCTGTGCTCTCTGGCAACACGGCCTGGCCCGTCATTAACTGTCCTCCTATCTCAGGTGACTGGGGAAGCCAAGATGTTTGGTCAAGCCTGAGGTTGCCTTCAGGTACGTAATGTACTTTTATTTTTGTGGAGGCCTCTGCATAATATTGTATAATATTTTCATTTCACTGAGCTTGCAGTTTCTCACAATTAGAGAATTGCATATCGTCATGGTTGTAATGCAAGTGCTTAGGTTGCTTTTTAAAAAAATTTTGGAAGTGTCTGAGTTACTGTAAGAGTTGCACAGGGTTCATATTCATAGTACCGTCGAACCTGCCATGACAGCCACCTGTATGATATGGCCACCTGTACAAAGGGCCGCTTTCCATTTCCCCCCTTGCATTTTTTCTATATTATTTAACTATGTTAAACGGTCACCAGTCCAACGTGGCTCTGGCCACCTTATTTTATCTGCCCAAGGTCAATTTCACCTGCCTCACACGGGCAAGGCGTGGTCACTCATTGCCTGATGCTTTGTCAAAAAAATTTAATTGGCCCATCACGCTATGGACGGACCGTCATAATTCATTTACCTGTCGTTATTGTTGGTCCGTCCAATGAATGTTTACCCAAGTTGACCTATGTGTAGGCCTAACAAAGAATTTTCAACTGCTGGTGAGGGTAGCGTGATCCATCATAACCTATAAGCCCTGCCCTCAACTCGTGCACAAATCGTGTGTGAGGTGACTGGTCGCTGTTTTGTTTACCTAATCTGTAACAAAGTAGCAATGGGCGTTGACGTGAACATCCTACAGAAATATCGCTCGTTCTCAGAGTGGTGGCGACTCGTGTGTTTGTTTTACCATGGCACCTGGTCTTCATCGTCTTACTTGCATAATATTTCGTTTAATATATCCTTGCACAAAATCAGCAACAACAGAAAAAAACGAATAAAAAATACCCTTCTTACACCAACCACGCCCTTTTTCTGAAGAAAACAAAAACTCTTCTGAATTCGACTTACGGCTATAACAGACTCGTGTGTTTGTCTATTATTTCCCAGTGCTTATTCATCTGTCACTTCCAGGCATAATATGCAGTTCAACACCACTGATTTCATCTCTACAGAATTTCTTTGGCATATTTCATGTTTAACATTAAGCAGACTGCTTACAAAAAGAACAAAAAAGATACAAAGAGGAAAAACAAATAACTGAACATAGACTAGATGAATCATAGCTGCTCATTATAAAGATAATTTGAAAATTCCAAAAAACAAAACTGAGACATTTCCATAATTAGGGATGGTTTGCCACTCCCCAATATTTCATCTCCTCGTTCTTCAAAACAGTCTGTCTCTGACCACACACTGCGCAGGGGGAGTGGGAAAGAAAACTAGATAAGAGGTCTTAGCCTATACTATTGAACATGTGTTATGTATGTATAGTATAGTATAGTATAAGGTTTTACGGCGCTCGCAACTGCTAAGGTCATATGAGCGCATGTGTTATGTGACATGCATTGACAACTGCAGGCTTCTGTGAGCGAGAGAAAAGAAAAGGAGGAGGGGAGAGTCAGCCTGGAAGAATGATTAAATGGCCCAAAATTCCTTTTTATTCATCACATCTACTGGAATTTTAAAAAGTCTTGTTTAAGAGATGTTACAGTGCATACAGAGGGGAGGAAAATCAGCGTTTAGAAATTGTGAAGTTTAAGAGCTTTGTGTTAAAAAAACAGAAGTCAACTGTAGTTGTATAGAGTATTCATATTTGGGTGGTTAGTGGGCGCTCTGGTGTGGTTTGGGCCTTCTTTCCTGCCTATTATCTATTGCCCTCTTCTCCCTTTCCTTGTTACTCTCCAGCACTAGCAACATAAATACTTGCAAGCACTGTAAAACTCTTACTAAAACAAACAAACAAAAGGAAGTGCAGGCTGCTTTTTGTGTTTATGCAGTGATTGATGTTTGTCCACTTGTTACCAAAGTTACATGCAAGTTTGATCTCAGCAGAGGCTTGGTTTTTTTTGTTTTTTTTTACATTGCGTTTTTTCCTTTTTTCTCTGTTCCTACAACGCAGGTTTGGGATGCTCCACTGTTCTGCAGCCTGAAAGTGCAGCTCAGGCTGCGGCCCAGATTCTTGGCCTGAGCGACCACGTGGTCTGGGCCAAACTAAGGGCCAAGCAGCTCAACACCTGGGTAGACCTCATCAAAGCTGATAGAAAAATGAGAGATGACAAGTAACTGTCATCAGTTCCTCACTTCTCCTGTTGGGAGTTTCTTTTACTTTTGGTCAGGTTTTTCTGTAGATGCATATCATATGTCTTGGAGGTGGAGTTTACAAACTACTTTACCGGATCATGTGGTTTGGAACTTTCAATGGCATCATGTAGACCTATATGAAAATTAGTAAAAGAGCACTGGGCTGGGAAATCTGATTATTGTTATTTCCAGTTTTTGTTTTTTCTAGAGCACGTTTCATTTATTGGAAGTCAACCATTCTACTGAATTTCTTCTTCGGAGTGCCATACATCTCTAAAGTTGGCAGTCTTTTGTACCTCCTGCCATCTGTACATGGTAAAGGGAACTATCTTGCAATTTTATAGTGCAGAGATTACGTTTTGATTTACTTGTTCTCTCTTATCCGGAACTTCTTCAATTTACTTCAAAGTGCCATTCTTGTCTTCTTCTTTGGAGGTTTGAATCTCTTTTTCTGCCTCAGCCTGTCTTTGATAAGGGGGAACAATTTTTCATGCTGAAGCTATCCTGCCATCTTCTCTCTTTAATATATGATGAAAAAAGGCTCTGTCTCACACTTTATCCCTTTGCCTCAATTTTTCTTTTTTGTTGTTGCTTTTCTGAGTTTGTAAATGTAGGCAGCATTTGGTCCACTCTGAAGTCCGACCTTGTTTTATTCCATAATGTGGCCGAAAAAGCTTAAATGCCATGTTGTAACCCCCATTTGGTAATGAGTATCCAGATTCTTTTGTTACTATAATTTGAAGCTACCAAGGCTTTTGTGTTCATTTTCACTTCATGTCACTTTTTCATTTTCTCGCCCTTTTGAAGAATTTGGAATGGAAGGATATTATGAGCTGCAGGCATTTAGTAGATAATGGAACTACAATAGATTTTTTTGTTTTTTTGACATATTTTGTTCTTGGACAATGAAATGGTGCAATGAGTCCCTCAAGTCCGGAGAGGAAACTTTGAAATCTTTTCTTCTTGTTTTTGAAGACCCAAACTAAAATTGATATATATATGTACAAGATATTTTGAAAAGTGTTTATTATTGGTTATATGGACTGTTAGTAGACTTACCTATAAAATGTATTAGCTTTCTTTTGAAAGTTGCTTTATTATAACCAACAGTTTGCTCAATGTCATGGTTTTTTTGTTTAAAAAAAAAATAAATTAAAGTGAAGAACTGTTAATGTATGAGAAAGGAAGGGACCATGAGGCACAATTGTTTTCCCTGTGGGTACCTCCTATTTCTCTTATCTCTTTCTGTCAGTTAATTATGACAGGAACACTTCACATGTGCTTGCCTTGTTGTAGCGTCTTTTCCGGGTGTTTCTTCATGTGAATGCTGATATATATGGGAAAAAAAATGTATTGCAGAGATTCGGCTCTGCATTTGTTTACAAGTACTAAACCCACGTACATGAAACGATTTTCTTTTGTGCTTAGAAAATGAAGAAATACAGTTTCACTACTGTTTTCAAATTCTAAAAGTAACCAGAAGGACAGTCTGTTGAAATTAACTCCCCCCCCCCCCCCCCCAACCACCACACACACATCTACACACACCACACATTCATCTGCTTACTGCTTACTTTCATATTTTTTTAAAGAATGAAACATTCCCAGCCCTAAAAATGAAACATTTGTAAAAGTCAATATTATTTCACAAGAGCTTTTTCTATGTGGCAAAATAAATTTCATCTCACTAACAGGCAATGCTGTTTAAAAATATTTTTTTTTATTATACTTGTTGTTGGCATCGCTTTTCACCTGATTGTGGGTGTTTGGGGGTGCTCTGGTGTGGTTTGCTTCTTCTTTCCTATCAAACGTCTATTGTTTTCATCTCCCCTCCTCCTTTTTTGTGTTTGTTTCTCTCTTGTAACACCTCTAATCTTTGGCACTTATATGACCTTATTGTGTTGCAAGTGCCGTAAAACACTTACTAAAACTAAAAAACTTTCCCCTGATTCTGTGCCTTTTACTTGTTGTAACTGTCCTGACTGAGCTCCTTTGTTCAAGGTCATTGGGATTGATAGTGATGAGGCAACTTTACTGATAGTCGAGAAGTTTTCATTTTGTCAACTGTTGAAAAGATATAACTTCCTCCCCGTCCGACACAGCAGATCAGTACACTGATGTACTGATACTGAAAGCTCATTGTTTTGTCATTTGTGAGGCAGCGTGGTGAAATCAGGCGCTCGTCAAAATAACGAAATCTGAGAAAGGGGCTTTTTTTCGACCATTTTGAAATTTTTTATCCAATTTTTATTTTTTGGCTTAACCACCTCTTCTATGTACTCATAAAACACTTTTCCATGTGAATTTTGCTTAAAAAGATTGGTTAAAAAAGGCACAAAATATGTCATTTTTCAGTTTTCAAAGACTAGCTATTGGCGTTACCAAACTCTGGCGGCCATTTTCTGGTTAATTTCACCGCAGAAACCAGGTGACCTCACTTCCTTAAATTTTGCTTATCTTGAGTTCAATTCAAGATAAATGTGATACAGCATGGTGAAATCGGGCGCTTGTCAAAATAATGAAATTCGAGAAATCAGCATTTGTCTGGCCAGTTTGGAAATTAAAAATGTAAAAATTTTTTTTTAGCTCAACATCTTGTATGTCCATTGAAAAACTCTTTTGTGTATGGATTTTATGGAAACACGTTGATTAAAGGCACCAAAAAATGTAAATTTGCACTTACCAAGGACTCTTTAGCTATGGAAGTCGCCAAACTTTGGCGGCCTTTTTTTCACTAATTTTACTTCTGAATCCAGGTGACCCCACCTCCTTCTATCGCAAATATCTCGACTTCTGCTCTAGATAAATGGATATTTTTTTCACCAAAAGGAAGACAAATGAACAGGCTTTAAGATGGTACAAATTACTTTATACGACCAAAATTTGAAGAGCGCCATGGCGCTCATATGACCTTATGCAGTTGCGAGCGCCGTAAAACCCTCTACTACTACTACTACGAAGAGCGCCTGATTCCACCACGTCGTGACACAAATGGATATTTATTTCATTGGAAGCAAGACAAATAAATCAGCTTTCAGGTGATACCAATAACTCCACGTGTCCAGAGATTGATGAGCACCTGATTCCACTGCGTCGTTACACATTTATTCTTCTTTGGAGTGGTTATTTTCTGTTTTAGTTTTAGTAGGTGTTTTATGACTATGAAGCTCGCATCTGTATAAGGTCACATGAGCGCCAGAAGATTAGAGGTGTTACAAGTACAAGAGAGTAACGAACAAAAGAAGGAGGGGAGATAAGAACGATAGGTGTTTGATAGTAAAGAAGAAGCAAACCACACTAGAGTACCTGCCAACCACCCATGGTTATTTTCTGTTCCTTAGTATTTGTTCTTGACAATTAATGTTTGCAGGAGGACTGGTGGCTGTGGGGTAGCGGTTAGATGCTTTATTATTGCATGCAGGAGACCTGAGTTCGATTCTCAGGTATGGAGGAAATTTTTGACTATCTTGGTCTTTCTGCTTGGGTTTTGTATGTATTCCTCTTAGTTTAGCCCGGGTTGGCCCTGAAGGCAGGGTTGGAAGCCGGCCTTCTAAACCAGCGCGTCTAACAACCAACCATAATATTATGTCGTCCATCTCGCAGAAAGTCGGCTGTTGAAATGGAACACACGGAGAGCCTGAGCCAGTGGCGGGGCGCCATTGGTGCAAGCGCTCAACCTAACCCTGGCCTCCACCCCCCCCCCCCCCCCCCCAGAATTATACTATGATGTCACACCTTTATGCTATTTCTGTTCACATCTTGAAAGGTGGGTAGGCCTATATTGTCGCAGAGAAAATGGCGTCCAGGAAACCTATGAACGTGCGCTTAAAGCAAAGAACTGTTATTGAGTTCCTAACTGCAGAGGGAGCTGCACCCATCGATGTTCCTAGGCAAATGAAGCTTGTCTATGGTGAAGCATGTGTAGATGTAAGTACTGTTTGAACTTGAAGATGGCAAAGGAGTTCGCTGAAACCAGTCCAGCAGAGACAGATTTGCATGACCGAGCTCGTTGTGGTCGTCCCAACTCTGCCAGTGATGTTCAACGCCATGAGAGAGTGGATGAGATCATCCAAGCAAACTGGCGGGTGTAAGTAAGAGATGTCAGTTAAATGCTAGGGATTTCTGTAGGGTGTGCTCAGTGTATTATCCTTGATGTGTTGGGTTTACAGGAACGTGTGTGCACGGTGGGTTCCCCGCATGTTGTCACCCGAGCTGAAATTGAACCAAAGTAAATTTAGTGATGAACTCCGGGCTCATATCGATGAGGGTGAAGCTTTCTTACGCCGTATAGTCACAGGAGACGAGACTTGGGTACACCATTATGACCCAGAGAACGAAAGACAATCGAAAGAATACAGGTGCACTGGCTCACCTAGCCCCAGGAAGTTCAAAGTTGTTTCATCTGCAAAGAAAGTTCTTATAATATATGACAGTGTTTTGGGACTGCGATGGTCTGATTTATATGGAATTTTGAGAACAGGGTTCCACTATCAAAACTCTGAACGATATACAGTGGAATCCTGATATAACGAGAGGGAGGGGACCGAAACAAAATGTTTGTTATAGCAGGATTCTCGCTATACGGGATCCAGTAATAAATTCAAGGGAAACTGTAAAGTAGGCCTAATCTATGAGTTTGGTGTTCTGTTTTCTTTTTGCTATCTCCCCTGATGATGATTTTGTTTCAACATGACCTCTAGGTCTTACTTGATCAAAAATCGAATCAGGTTTGTTTCTCTAGCGCTATATCTAGCGATGTGGACTGACAGCTCGGCGTTGGCGATCAGAAAGAAAGGGCTTTGGGCTAACTCGCCCGCTGTGTTTTCCTCCCACCCCAACCCACCCTGTGGTGCGTTCTGTCTGCTTGCGCACGTCACACATTCGCTCCGTCCTTCACATTGCTATGACCTCTCCATCCCCGCTTCGGAGAAGTGAGAGGCATGGCAGGCCTTGATCATCTAAACTGGCCTATCATGCGATGCGTTCTGCTTGTCTGCGCATGCCACATCCTCCCTTATCAGTCGCTCCGGCCTTCATTGTTGACACACATGGGCTCTCCTATTCTTTGTTTCGCAAGATCAGCAACAAGTTTCTCAACTGGCGAGGTCTTGCATTATGTATAATTGGCCCATGCCATGTGCACAGCAGCAGCAATATTCCGCTATAATCGACTCGCAAGTGTATCTGATAGCGCTATAGCAGTATTTTGTTTACAAAGGTAAAGAGAAGAAAAAAACGGGGTTTTAGAAAAGTGTCTTTATAACAGACTTCTCGTTTTTTCCGGACTCCTTATAAGTGGACTTCACTGTATTGAGATCCTGAGTTCGGCTGTCACGAGTTCGGCTCGGGAAAAAATGCAATTTTGCACCACGACAACGCCCGTCCACACACGAGTCGACAAACTCAGGAAGCCATGAAAAGTCTCAGATTTCAAGAGACCTTCCTGCACCCATCATACAGTCCAGACCTTGCCCCGTCTGGCTTTTATCTTTTTCCTAAGTTGAAGGAGTACCTCAAAAGAAAACGTTATGCAGATGACAATGAAGTTCAAGCTGATGATGTGCGTCGCTGGTTCAGAGGAAAATCACATGCGACAACTTATTCGACGTTGGCGGATCTGCATCGACAAAGAAGGCGACTATGTTAAAAAGTAAAGGTACTGTCGTGTAGCAAACATCCTTAGCTTTCATTTGGTGTACATGTATAAGTTTTGGATGTAGCATCAGTAATGAAGAAATTATGAACTTCGAGGCAAAACTTTTTGAACGACCCGTGTAGGCCTACATTAGGTCTAAGCCTACTACATCCTTGCGATCCGTCACCCGCCAGTGAAGAGACAGACGGCGAGGATGGTTTATGCTCGTCGCACGGCTTGCGGTACTGTCTGCTGGGAGCAAGCAAAATCTTTGCACCTAAGTTATTTTTGTTGCTGTAGAGAAATCTAGGCATCGTTCTTCCCTCACAAGAAGAAAAGTGTATGAAACTGCTGTTCGCAGCACCAATTTGATGCAAGCTAAAACTTTGATCCAAGTCTCCGCGAGCCTATCTACTACATGTACACTACATCAGTGGCGGCTCGTGGTTTATAGAACTGACCGGCCATCATTCACATAGACTCTTACTTCCT